AATAAATCTACCGATTGTCACCAAACTTTTTTCGAAAACGAATACAGTTTGGCTACTTTGTGTGACAACAGAATCTCTCATTTTAGCCATACGGTAAGTGTGTTGTCTAGAATACTCTTGTGTGCTTACTGTTGCCGGGATCAGACGTGAAATGAGAAACGTTGATGAGTTCGACAAAACAAATGTTCTCATTAAATTCAGCTGGAATCCACAGAGTGGATTAGTGAAACAACGAGGGAACTTCACTGGTGGATTTCGATTAATCTTGAAAATTTATGTAGTCTCGATTACAATTGAAGTAACTCAGTTTTATTTCGTTATGTGCGAAGTCCCATGGGAAAATCATCCACGCACTGTGACTGTGGGACGCTGGTAAAACAAAAGTAAGGAAATATTATCATCCGAGGACACCACATGGCAAGCGTTCCCCCTCCGATTGCTGTTTTTTCGCCTAAACAAATATTCAATAGTTACAATCGACCGTTCTCACAAGAAGAATCCAGTCGGGTAAGATTTCCGTTCTATGTGTGAGTGCAATGTACAGACATTAGACTAGCAGTAGAACAGAGTGTGGTAAGAAAACAAATCGAGTAAACCTGAGTTACTGTCTTGGAAATTAAAACTGTAAACAAGTAGGGAAGTTTTCACGAAGGAAATTACTCACAAGGTTGCTGAAAACTCTTCGAAAGCCCACGACCGGTTTCGCTCTTCTTGAAGCTCATCAGGTAGGCACAGTCCCCGAGTTTCCGTCAACCTCATGTTCTACTTGAACCCAAATTGCACTGTTTTCGAGAAATACATCCATTTGCAAATCGATTCGGTTTTCACGGGGGACTCAATTGAATCTCTCCTTTGTGATGTTCTATCTCTCGAAAACAGTGCAATTTGCGTTCAAGTAGAACATAAGTTTGACGGAGACTCGGGGAACGCGCCTACCTGATGAGCCCAAAGTGGAAGGGCGAAACCGGTCGTGGGCTGTCGAAGAGTTTTCAGCAACCTTGTGAGTAGTTTCCTTTATGGAAATACACTGCGATATCTATCTATCTGTGCCAACTGCAACATGAGGCGGGCTGTGTGCAGCACGTTCAGTTGAAGAACATCATAAACGAGAGATTCAGTTAAGTCTCTTGTGAAAACCAAATTGATTTGCAAATGGGTGTATTTCTCGAAAGCAGGGAAGTTATAATCTACAAAACCTGGACCACGAAATAATAATGAGCACTAATATGGCTGCAAGACAGAGCTTAGTCCTTAAAATCTTGAACGAGTGCATCTCGAGATTTGTGTCCTGTTTGGATTCAAGTAGGAACTGACATCCCGATCTGTACTCAGGGACTACGCCTTCTTGATGAACCTTAACAAAGGCGAAACCGGCCGAACGCCGCTGGAAGGTTTTCGGAAATTTCATGAGTAGCGCTACATCAAGAAAGTCCGTTTTAGTTTAGTTAGGTAGTTATATTTATTGCCATTTATGACGTTTTGCACCCTCAGAGCATTTTCAATAACATGCTCATAAGTTGGGCATTGAATTTGGGAAGATATGTGTTTGGCAACTATCTGGGATTACGTGGACTGGTTAGAAATGTTAAAGTCCTTCTTTGAACGAATAGCACTGTGCACATGATGGAAAAGAAGCACCAAAAAAGACGTAACATGGAGAACCCAGACTGCTCTAAATCATCAAACAAATTTATTGCAAAATGTTATTCCTGATTTAAAATGTTCCGTACTCCGGTTCTCCCATAATAGGCGGTATCCAACGGATTGTATGCAGAGTTTGTGATTCTTGATCGGCACTGACCGTTGTTTCCTCAGACATTATTCCTTTTCACCACACAAACATAAACCGCCAGACTTTCTTCGCCTGCTAACAAGCAGCGACGTGTTGCCAGGTTATAAACACCGCACAGCAGAGATTTATCTTGTCCATTATTGTAGGATAAAGGATAGCGTGTATATATGGTCCTTTCCCTCACACCGATAGGTATACCCAAGTGCTGGCTGACATCTAATGATCCCAGAGTACATCAGTGAAGATTTCAGTAGCATACTTTGGAATCAATCATATGGCTCATCCCACTGATTGCGTACACAAGGCTGTTTTCTTTAAACCAGGTCTTTTAAGAATACTTTTTAAGTCTGTGGTCTGATCAGTTTGGTCGTGGTAGGTAAGGGTTGAATTCAATCAGTAATACATTTGATTAATTGGTCATCGTCGCTCGATAACCGAGCTAAATGGTTGCGAAGATTTATTGCACACAAAAGAACTAGTTTTCGTATTAATCTGGTATGGTGACATCGTTTGCACACAGGGGTTAAATTCAGTTTGCGTCGATCGATATCACTTTAACAAAAAACTTGTAGATGTTCCACCAAATTGGGCTCCAATTAATTGAATTTAATGGTGACATCACATTTCGCAAAAGCACCTCAGTTACAGATTTCGGTTGAGAAAATGATTCACAAAATGTTTTTGGGGTTGGATAATGTGTAGGTAATATTTGTGCAACTAGTCCCATCCAAATAATTGGAAATTAAGTGAGCCTGTGCCAAAGTGAAGGCTGGATAAGAACAATATTACTTTGAAGCCGACATCCTTGTATCGTTTGTTGCCACCCATATTTACTATCAAACAATGCCTGTGAAGTACAACCATAACCATCACGTGACAAGTGGTATAACGTTTCCACAACGTGAAGAATAACGTGGTGCTAACAATGAACCCTTCATCCTGAATTTCTCATCTATTGTTTGCATATATGACTTGCACCTCAAAGATTACTCAGATTAAATGGAAATGAATATAAACTATTCTATTCGTCGGCATCCCACGTGCCAGTGTGCACGTTAATTGGTTGGTGCAAACGGCTGTTATGAGTCTTCGAAATATCGAGGCGTACTATTGCTGGCGGTAACAGTTCACCGTGCTCCTGTTGTTAAACACCTTGCAGCAGCAGATGTGGCTCTCACCTGCCCACCTGCCTAGATCACCATCTCTAAGCAACCTCCCCAATAGAACATGATAGGATAAACTTTGAACACGAAGAAAGCGAGAGCAATTGGTTGCTAGTTTCTAGGGTCAGGTCGTACCTCACTCGTCATACTGTGTCATTGGCATTGACATGATACTTGCTACGACGCCATCAACTATCAGAAGTTTCGGGCTTTGGGTCAGGACTTCATCACTTATTTTTATGAGCTCAGCCGTCGTTATGTTGGTGAAGACGGCAGACCCAACAGACATAAATGCTACTTTTAGTGCCATCAAGGATATCGTTTTCAGCATAGAACAAGCCGTGTTCTAAAATGGGGTAGAATTACATACCTGTAATTTTCCTTCAGAAACACTTCTGAGGAGTGTCCAAAACTTCCATCACTGTGTCAGTTGAATTTGAAGCATCACCTTCTATGATCCATAAAGGCTCACGTTCACCTTCTCCCCTCATCCTTCATGTTCTCAGATCGTAGCCACCATGGAATAACTTCCTTACTTCCTCGATCTGGATTCTCAACTCTTCACAGTAGACCACTTATTCATTCACGTGAAAAATACTGCCAAAATCCAAAGGCAGATGGTACCGATAAGGCCAATAGTGGATNNNTTGTGTAAGCTTTCCACCACATGAACTGGCCAGATTCTCAGCTGGTATACTAAAACCGCTCACGGAAAAATCAAACACCTTTACTAGGAATTCGTACGACTTTGCCAGCAAGGTCGCAGGTTTTCCTTTAGAGATGGACGAAGTCCTCGTGAGTTTTGAAGTAATCTCAATGTACACAAACATCTCTAGGGCAGGTACTCTGGAGGTAACTAAGAGATTGTTACTGACAGACACGACATTCGGGGGACGGACACAGCTCCTGGTGGATGAAATAGTTGGGGGCAAAAGAGTGTGTTTTAATCTTCGTCAGTTTGTTTTTGATAAAACTGTTTACTCACAAGAACAAGGATTTGTAATGGGGTCTCCAATACCCTCAGTTTTAGCTAACATTTATATGGAGGACTTTGAACAAATAGCCTTGGCCGGATATCATTGTCCACTCAAAGAATTTTGGCGTTATGTTGATGACACCTTTGTTGTAATCAAACGAGATAACGTGAACAGCTTCCAAGACTATCTCAATAGTTTAAGCCCACACATCAAGTTTCGCATGGAAATAGAGTCCACCTCGGGCACATTAGACTTTCTGAACTGTATAATACATAAGGTTGATGGGAAATTGAAAAGTACTATCTCCCAGAAACCAACCGATGCAGGAACCATCTTAAGCTATTCACCAGCACACCCAAAGTCCGTGTACGCCCGTATTGTCTCATCGATGTTTCGTCACGTCAGAGCGCTGTGCACAGAAGAGATCGACCGAACGGCAGCTCCAATCGAGATTGTTAACATACTTCAAGAAAAAACATACCCAATGAGTTTGATTAAAGAGTCAACTAAGAAGCATATTGGCTCCAGTATCTAGACCCAGTTAGGAATGGATTGGCACAGCAGTCATTTCATATAAAGCAGGAACATCGGAGGTTATTTGAAGACTGTTGAGCTTAGCAAACATTCGAGTAGCTTTCCAGAAGGGAAAAACGCTACGCTCAGTTTTGATGCAATTGAAAGATCCCTTGCCGGTTGAAATGGCTAGAGACTGTATATAAAATTAACTGCAACGATTGCGCTAAGGTTTACATAGGACAAACTGCCGGGGAATTGCACATCAGAACTGGCGAGCGTAAAAGGAGGATAAACAAACCACCAAGGAATGCAGAAGAATACCAAACGCTGGTCAAAGACTCAGCGATGGCGGTACATGCCTTAGACGCGGGACATAGAATAGATCTGGAGAATATGGAAGTTTTAAGACGGAGACTGCGATTCACACCACAGCGTCTGATAGCCGAGGCAGTGGAAATTACTAAGCATCACGGCGTGAATACAGTCTAAGCTGTGGAACTGGCGAGCTTATGGAAAGCGGTCTCAGATAGGCTGAGGTGACACGTGGCGGGTGGTTGTCAATCCACGTGGGATCATTAAAAAAACCGGGGGGTAGGGGTGGAAACCCCAACCGACCAAAGGTCATAGCATCCCTCTTACACAACTATGTTAGCGTTAGCTCACCCACACAGACAGACAGAAGGTTCAAACGAAGTTCATGAGGAACCATCAAATGAACCAAACCAGAAGAACTAGACCCTAGGCTGGACCAAAACACATGTGGGTTTCCCCACCGACCCAACACTTGTTCAACCACTCTAACATACTAAAATCCCTCGGTCGACACCCAACAGAGATTTAGCTTGACTTAGCTGATTGGTCCTCCTTCCGCCTTAAATCCCCACCAACATCGGAACCTAGTCACTTGGCCTGACGAAGCTTTTGTGTCAAAAGCGAAACGTTGCCCAGAAATAAATCTACCGATTGTCACCAAACCTTTTCGAAAACCTAGACCACTTATTTATATTTTGCCTACTGCTTCGTTCAATATTCAGTAAACAATAGCTCGTCCTCATTGCTCGCAACAATGGAGTTTGTTACTTGGGTAAAAATGTGTTCGCGTTCCTCGACTCCAGTGACAAAAAGCCCTCCTTTATGACATAAGGAACTCTTTGGGTTTTGGAACCTATGCCGTGTGTACTACTTTAGGTCAAAACAGCTAAGATTGAATATATTAGTGCTGTTCAAATGAAATGTACACTTTTTCAGAAGAGCTTGATAAACAATCGCTAGTTTTTGGTTGGGCAACGTTTCTCTTTTGACTTGCTGCCCGGTTCCCCGTCTGCCTTATAACCTGGCCAATTTGGTGACCTGCTCACTTGGCCTGATGAAGCTTTTGTGTCAAAAGCGAAACGTTGTCCAAATAAAATCTACCGATTGTTTATCAAGCTCTTCTGAAAAAGTGTACATTTCATTTGAACAGCACTACTATATTCAATCTTAGCTGTTTTGACTTAAATTAGTACACACGGCATAGGTCCCAAAACCCAAAGAGTTCCTAATGTCATAAGGGAGGGCTTTTTGCCACTGGAGTAGAGGAACGCAAACACAATTTTACCCAAGCAACAAACTCCATTGTTGCGAGCAATGAGGAAGAGTTATTATTTACTGAATATTGAACGAAGCAGTAGGCAAAATATAAATAAGTGGTCTACGTTTTCGAAAAGGTTTGGTGACAATCGGTTGATTTATTGCTGGGCAACGTTTCGCTTTTGACACAAAAGCTTCGTCAGCCCAAGTGACTAGGTTCCGATGTTGGTGGGGATTTAAGGCGGAAGGAGGACCAATCAGCTAATTCAAGCTGAATCTCTGTTGGGTGTCGGCNCAGAAGAATACCAAACGCTGGTCAAAGACTCAGCGATGGCGGTACATGCCTTAGACACGTGACATAGGATAGATCTGGAGAATGTGGAAGTCTTAAGACGGGGATTGCGATTCACACCACAACGGCTGATAGCCGAGGCGGTGGAAATCACTAAGCATCACAGCGTGAATAGAATCGAGATGTGGAGCTAGCGAGCATATGGAAAGCGGTCTTAGATAAGCCAAATTGACACATGACGGCGTGGTTGTCAATCCACTTAGGATCATTAGAAAAAACCTGGGTATTAGGGGTGGAAACCCCAACCGACCAAAGGTCATAGCATCCCTCTTACACAACTATGTTAGCATTAGCTCACCCACACAGACAGACAGAAGGTTCAAACGAAGGAGGAAAGGAACCATCAAATGAACCAAACCAGAAGAACTAGACCCTAGGCTGGACCAAAACACATGTGGGTTTCCCCACGGACCCATGTTGAACCAACCGATTGTCACCAAACCTTTTCGAAAACGTAGACCACTTATTTATATTTTGCCTACTGCTTCGTTCAATATTCAGTAAACAATAGCTCGTCCTCATTGCTCGCAACAATGGAGTTTGTTACTTGGGTAAAAATGTGTTCGCGTTCCTCGACTCCAGTGACAAAAAGCCCTCCTTTATGACATAAGGAACTCTTTGGGTTTTGGAACCTATGCCGTGTGTACTACTTTAGGTCAAAACAGCTAAGATTGAATATATTAGTGCTGTTCAAATGAAATGTACACTTTTTCAGAAGAGCTTGATAAACAATCGCTAGTTTTTGGTTGGGCAACGTTTCTCTTTTGACTTGCTGCCCGGTTCCCCGTCTGCCTTATAACCTGGCCAATTTGGTGACCTGCTCACTTGGCCTGATGAAGCTTTTGTGTCAAAAGCGAAACGTTGTCCAAATAAAATCTACCGATTGTTTATCAAGCTCTTCTGAAACGATGACTTCTCAATCGGTTCCAAATCTTTTCCAATTGATTGAAATGTACACTTCTTTCAGTGGCACAAACACAGAAGATGAACAGTTGTCGAACTCTGAGGTAAGACAGGTCATCAAAATATATCTTTCGTAGCTGTTTATGTGATTTATTATGTAGGTGAAATCGAACTGTGCTAAAGAGCAAAGAAGTGGTGAACAACGTTTTTTTTCATATTGCGACGTATCAGTAGTGTTTATCTTACAAACCGCATAGCCTTCCGACAAGAAGATGCAATCAATGCGATTCAGCCAGGATTGGCTGTTCGAACATTCATAGAACACGCTCCCCATTTGTTTAATCGCAAAACCCGGTATCATGATGCTGTACCATAAAATAATTGTGTATTTTGCCATGGAATCAAAGGTCTTGTGCGACTGTACTGCGGTTTTATCTTATTTCCAAAATAATGTATCTTAGTGTGCTGGATCAGATTTTGTAAGAGGAAAGACGGTGTGTGGATACAATACAAGGGGTTTGTATCATTGTTATTCATAGCATACTAAATGAGGCCGCCATTCACGTGATACGAACGTTGGCGAATGTCGTGATCTTGGCAAAATCTATCTAGCGATTTTTCAACAGAGCAGAACCACTGGCGGCTACCATCAGACTTCCGCTACGCCTTCTATACTACTAGCAGTAACGACCTAATTTACGACAATCAACAAAGAGTGCCGCAAACAGTTTAGTATAACATTGGGCACAATGGCACGTAAAATAAGGTAATCGACATACCTCAACTACCTACCAACAGCTGGTTCAGCCGTTAATGACCAGAGTCCCTCGAAATGATGAAAACATTTGCTCACTTGCCATTTATACACACTGTTTTTCCACGCAGATCACTAACCCACGTTGGAGCCCTACACCCTACACTAATTCACATACATCAGTTTGCATGACTAGTCATGTGTTATGCTAACGCTTGGAAACAGCATCCGATTTCTCTAGGAAAGTTCTCTTCCAACGTTAGCCGATTTCGGATGTC